CGTGGTGAAACCCTGTCTCTACTAAAAATACAAAAATTAGCTCAGCATGGTGGTGTGCACCTGTAGTCCCAGCAACTCAGGAGGCTGAGGCAGGAGAATCACTTGAACCCGGGAGGCGGAGTTTGCAGTGAGCCAAGATCTCACTGCACTTCAGCCTGGGCGATAGAGTGAGACTCTGTCCCCTCACCAAAAAAAAAAAAAGAATATCGCATAAATGAAATGGAATCATATAGTATGCAACCTCCCAGAATTCATGGTTTTTACTCAGCGTAATTCTCTGGAGATTCATCCAGGTTGTGTGTATTAGTGGCTTGCTCCTTATTACTGAGCATTGTTACCTGTGAGGGATAGACCACAGTTTACTTGATCACTCACCTGCTGAAGGACTTCCAGCTCACTTTTCAGTTATTTAGATTATCTTTCGTTTCTTTCATTGGCATCTGTGTACTTTTGGCATGCAAGTCCTGTGTATGTCTTAAGATGTACACCCAAGTGTTCGTCTTAAGTTTCACTTCTTAAAGTGATTGTGAATGGCCTTGTATTTTTAATTTTGTGTCTATGTGTTCATTGCTTGTGCATAGAAATGCAATTGACTTTTGTATGTTTACCTTGTATCCTGTGACCTTGCAAAGTTTTGTTTTGTATATTCCTGGGGATTTCCCATGTAGATAATCATGCCATCTGAAAACAGGGACAATGTTATTTCTTTCCTGGACTTTGCCTTTTTAAAGGGCTCAGGCTAGTTTCCTGTTCTGTTTTTTTTTTTTTTTTTTTTTTTTGAGAAGTCCTGTTCTGTTGCCCAAGCTGGAGTGCAGTGACGCCATCTCAGCTCACTGTAACCTCCCTCCCGGATTCAAGTGATTTTCCTGCCTTAGCTTCCCGAGTAGCTGGGACTACAGGTGTATACCACCATGCCTGGCTGATGTTTTTGTATTTTTAGTAGAGACAGGGTTTCACCATGTTGACCAGGCTGGTCTCGAACTGCTGACCTCAGGTGATCTGCCCACCTCGGCCTCCTTAAGTGCTGGGATTACAGGCATGAGCCACCTTGCCCGGCCATGATTTGGAATGCCTTTTTGTCCTGCTGTTGGCTAAGTCAGATCACTTGGTTGAGACCTCCAGATTCCCTTCTTACCTTTGAGACCGCCTCCTAACAACTTTGACTCAGCAGTTTTAACATCCAAGGATAGCCTTTGCCTGAATCAGTTATTGTCTGATGGTTTGTTGTTGTTGTTTGGTTTTTTGCCTAAGGAGTTAAGCAATGGTAGTTCTTAACTGTTTTAGCACTTCAGAAACACTTATTGTCTTGCATATAACCAGATTGTTACTTAGTAATCTCTTTTGCCTGGGGAGCAAGCTTTTCAGAGTAAAAGGGATACTGGAGCCAGAGAGAATTGGATTTAAGATGGTGATTCCATAGGTGGTTTGCAAATCTGCCAAAACAAAGATGTATGCCTTTTCTCAAACCCTGACTCTGTAAGAGCACCTGCAGTGCCTTTGGACAGCACCCTATGTAACTGCAGTGGAGATGTGAATGTAGCTTCAGTCACTGCCATATGACAGATGCCTGCCCAGGCTCACCCACCAGCCAAGCTGCTTGGGTGGCTCTGATGAGGAGTCCATGTTTTTGGACAACTGCTGTCTTAAGTCAGCAGTTCTCACAGTGAGGTCCTGAAACCAGCATTAGCATCCCCTGGAAACTGTTAGGAATACCAGTCCTGGGCTCCACCCCAGACAGACCTCCTGCATCAGACACTCTGGGTTGGGGCTCGACAGGGTTTAGAACCACTCATCTGGATTAATCTTTTTTCCAATGTGTAGTACTAGTCTGAAACCCCAGGGAAGCTGTTAATTCAGATGTCTTTAAAGTTCCATGTGGCTTTGCAATAATCTATGCCTATCATGCTGTCAGACTGTGGCTGGCTGCTCTTCCAAAGCGTCTCAGATCCTGTGTGAAGAATAAGCTCCATTTACAGTTCTCATACTTAGGGGAAGTGCTTTTAGCTCCCTGAACCCCCAATGTGAATTTTTGCCTAAGATTAGGAAATCCAGCAGACTATGAAATTGGAAAGTGAGGTTGGTGTTAACAAGTGTAAATTTGTGCATATTTTCAGCATTTGTTTATATTTAACTTTGCCCCCCACCTACTGGCTTATTACCTTAAGAAATAAAAAAATCGGCTAGGTGTGGTGACTCACGCCTGTAATCTGAGCACTTTGGGAGGCCGAGGCAGGCTGATCACCTGAGGTCAGGAGTTTGAGGCCAGCCTGGCTAAGATGGCGAAACCCCGTCTCTACTAAAAATGCAAAAATCAGCCAGGTGTGGTGGTGTACACCTGTAATCCCAGCTACTCAGGAGGCTGAGGAAGGAGAATTGCTTGAGCCCGGGAGGCGGAGGTTGCAGTGAGCCGAGATTGCACCACAGCACTCCAGCCTGGGCAACAGAGTGAGACTCCGTCTCAAAAAAATAAATAAATAAAATAAAAATATCAACATTTCTAGAGGCCAGTGTCTTTATAGCCTACTCTACTGGTTGAGGATTTTGATTCTTCACCAAAGAGATGCAGACTGAGCTGCTTTTGTGTGCAAGGCAGTGTGCTTTTCCTGTAACGAGGAGGTGAGTTCCTACGGGCTCAGGAGCAGTAGGTAGCCATGTGTGCATCTGGACCAAGCTGTGAGAAGGGGACGTGTCTGCAGAGGAAAAGAAGGTGCTGTGGAAACTGAGAGGTGAATGGGGGTAGGGTGGAGGAGGCAGCCAAGAGCTTAGTGGTATTCATCAGTCAGGTGTTCCAGGGAGACACAACCAACAGGTGGCCGTCTCTCCAGACTCCACAACCAACAGCTGGCCGTCTCTCCAGACTCCCTCGTCCTCCTCTCTGCTGCTGTCAGGGGCACCCAGCCCTTGGCCGACTCTGCCTGTGGCCCCACTGGCTGCTCCTGCAACCCTTCAACTGGAACCCCAGCACAGACATCAGCCCACTTACTAACAGCCCAAGGCTGGCAAGGAACTGAAGCACAGTTTCAATACAGTTTGATAGGTAAACATTTCTTCATTGCAGTGATGATGGTAAAAATCCCCTCCACCCTGACCATCCAGGGGAGGAGTGGCCTCCCCTCCCCGGACTGACCCAGTGCGTGTCTCTGACCTGGAGGTCATTCTGGAAATGGAAAGGCCAGCTCATTTTTCCTCAACAGAGTTCTGCAAAAAATATCTTCATCATTGACAGTTATTTTAAGTAGACTCAAAGAGAGAATTAGATTTATTTGGTCAAAGGTGGATAAACACTTAAAAGGCCACACCGTTCAGCCTGGTCTGCTGCCTCTTTTGTTTTTTTTTTTTTTTGAGATGGAGTTTCACTCTTGTTGCCCAGGCTGGAGTGCAATGGCGTGATCTCAGTTCACTGTAACCTCTGCCTCCCGGATTCAAGCAATTCTCCTGTCTCAGCCTCCCAAGTAGCTGGGATTACAGGTGCATGCTACCACGCCAGGTTAATTTTTATATTTTTAATAGATACAGAGTTTCATCATGTTGGTCTGGCTGGTCTCGAACTCCTGACCTCAGGTGATCCACCCACTTCGGCCTCTCAAAGTGCTGAAATTATAGGCGTGAGCCACTGCGCCTGGCCTGGTCTGCTGCCGTCTACCGGAGTGAGTGCAGCATTTCACAAAACTCTACAACTGAGGTTAGGAAACATTCTTGGAGATGCTGGTATGGTGGTGAAATTCTTTTTGGTGGAATTCTTAACTACATACAAAACAGGTAAAGTCAGTTTCTTGGTTGTGCATGGGAAAAAGACTTTTCTCTCCAAAGATGACATGGATAAGAACACCATAGATAAATTCAAGGCACAGGGAAGGTGAGTTTCGGGACTGGCCAACTGCATCGGTGCCTGGGGACAATTCAACTCAACAAACAGCTGGGAGCCAAGATGCGGCCCCACCTCCCGCTCCAGGCCCAGCCCTCTCTGGCCATACCCTTCTTTAGCCATGCTCATTCTTGTTCATGTCCCTAACAGCAAAGCTAGGCAAAACTCCCTGGGCATCCCCAGGCCAGGCCCTCTGCCTGGGCACATGAGGATCACCCAGAGTGACTGAGGCAGATGGAGTAGTCACGGCTTGGAGCTACATGGGGGTCCGCCAGAAACACAGAACCCCTTCTGCCTGGAGCCCCTCTTCAAAGAGGGCTTTGGTTGGACAGATTTATGGAAGACATGAGAACACCAGCATTTCATGGTGGAAATCACGTTTTGGACAGAGCGATGTTTAATTGGTTTGTGCTACTATAACCAGATACCTTAGACAGGGCAATTTATAGACGACAGGAATTTATTTCTCACAGTTCTGGAGGCTGGAAGTCTAAGATCAAGGCCCTCGGTTTCTGGTGAGGGCCTGTTTCCTGGTTCATAGATGGCGCCCTCTTTGTGCCCTCACGTGCTACAGGTATGAGGGAGCTCCCTGGGGCTATTATGAGTCCTTAAGCCCAGGCTGAGGCTGCAGCTGCATGACCAAACCACCTTCCTGAGGCCCCACCTCCTCATACCATCACCTGGGGGTTAGGGCTTCAACATAGGAACTGGACGGGGATGGGGCACAGACATTCCGACCCTGGCAGTGATGCATAAAAGCCCAGTTTGAGATGGGCAGCAAAGGCTGGCTCTGGCAGTCCTGTGGGGGTGGAGCGGGTGGGGTGGACCCAGCTTCCTGCCCTGCGGCCTCAGTGGCCCTCATGACATTGTGAATCCCTTCAAGCCAGGTGTAGTGTGTGTGGCTTGTTGTTCTCTGGTTTGTAGCTTCATCAAATTATCAGGGCTGCTCGGCCCCCTGAACGTGAAGGTCAGGGATTTCGTAAAAGGGCCCTTGTCCTATGCTACATCAGCTCTCTGCATGTCCTGGTCCCCAGGCTGCCCCATTGCCCTGATGAAGATGCATGATGGAGCTTGGACCTGGAATGAGGGGAGTGGAAGGAGGTGAGCGCAGAGATGGACAGGAGCCCCAGGGAGGCTGGGTCCATGGGGTGCCGTGGACTTTGATGGAGGCCTCAGAGATGGTAGAGCAGGAGGGCTGGCCTCTCATAAGACTGGCCCCTGTGCCTCTTGTTTTAGCCTCTTCCAGCCCCCATCCCTGCCTCTTGCTCTCCATTCTCTACATGCCCCTGAAGTGCATAAAGATGATGTGAGGAGGCTGAGGCACCGCCCTGCGCCAGAAAGTTCTTGGAACTTCCCACGGTCACATTCCTAAGATGGAATGTTGTGAGGCTGCCTCTGCTGTCCTTTGGAGAAGTCTCCTGCTCCCATTATTAAAAATCTCAACATGTATCTCGATGTCTGTATATTTCAGTATGCATTAAACATGGGATTGGAAGAGTGTCATGGGAGGTCCATATACATGGACGGTCTGGGATTTGCTTCTGCCTTCCAGTGCTTTCCCTTGAGCTCTCTGGGAAGATGTGGGCTCTGGGAGATTCTCAGCCGGTTTTGTCATGCCCAGCTGAGTGGAAGGGGTCGAGTGGGATATGCAAAGCTCCCTCCTGTTCATGGCCTTGGATGTAACCAAGGAGGGCTTGGCCTCGGACCATAAGTGGGGTTTTCTTGCAGGTGTACACAGAGGAATGTCCCATCGCGTGGCTGTGTGGGAGAGTGGGCTCTGGGGAGGCAGAGCTGGGACCCTCTGCTGAGCAGGGAGGCAGTGGACCCTGTTTGTTCCTCATGTGTGGGAAACCTGCCAAGGGAGGCTGCGGTTATTTTGCCCCGCTTTTTCCACGGACGAAACAGGAGTCAGTTGAAATTTGCAAGTAGGTGATGGGAGAGGTGGGCCTGAACCCCAAGTCCTTAGGCTGAAAACCTGGGCCTTTCTTGGTCTCTGCAGATGTGCTCCATTGCAGGGCGGGGAGGTGCTGGGGTCGGCCTCTTTGAAGTCGGGCTGATGGACACGTTTGGGGCTGGTGGAGGCACCCGCGCTTGCATGGAGGAGGGTGTGGGACCCTCTGCCAAGTGTCAAGTTAGCCTGAAAGGAGGTGCAGACTGGGGGCTTTGCTTTTTGCCCTGGGGTAAGAAAAAAAGAAAACAATGCAGGCCGAGGAAGCATTCCTGGCGGGGATTACCTGGGAGGTGGCGCAGCCTCTTTGATCCTCCTCCGTACGGCTTGCTGTAGCTTGCTCTTATCAGGACCGCAAATTCCCTGTTTCCTTTTATGTTGGGAACCTACTAGAGGCTCTGATACTGGAAGCGGGGTGCCTCATTCTTGCCTGCAGGATGCAGTGTCCGGTACACAGGCGTCAGCGCCCACATGGGGGTGGACAGTGGAGGGCCAGCCTGGGCGAGTCCCCTGTGCTCAGGCCTCCTTGGTGGGGGTGGGGTGGGAGTGGTCTGGAGGCTGGTCATTTGTCATTCGTCAGAGGGACGATGGGCAGGCAGTGATGTCCAGAGGCTTACTCACTGCCTGCCTTCTAGCCAGCCCTCTGGAAAAGAGGCCGTGCTTCCAGGTTGGAGACTTCCTCTGGAGAATTCCGTGACACACGTTCTTGAACTGTGGATGTGATTCAGTAAGGTGCAGTTGATGGCAGGTGGGGTGGAATAATTCCTTGTTGGATAGTTTGCTCCAGGAATGGTGTGGCCTTCCTGCCTCCTCTCACTAGACGCTAGTGGTCTCCTCAGTGGTGGTGATGGTTAAAATGTCCTCACATTTCCAAATGTCCCCTGCGCCTCCAATTATTAGTAGGCAGAGAATTCAGTCCGCACTTAAAAAAACAAACTAGGATGAAAAATCCCAGAGGGTATTCTCCCAGTTGCCACGTAATATTCCTGAAAAATCTTCAAGTTATTTACCCATGAGGTGTGTTACCTGGTTGTTACTTAAGAGAGATTTCTGTATGTGTTGCAAGGAGAGGCATTGCAGAAACCGACGGGCATTTTTGTCATTCTACATTGTGACTCTTCCTTTCCTGTGTTTGAAAGATGAAAAGATAGCACCCCCTGGACGGGCAAGGGTTGGTTTAAAAAACAGTGTTGGGACTGAAAGGTCCATTAGTGAGCTCAGTGCAGGCAGGGGTGATGGTCCTGGTGGAGGTAGCCATTTCAAAGCTTCTAAGTGTGGCTGAGGAAGGAAGGAAAAGTCAGCCTCTCCCTTACGTAGGACGCTTGCGAACTTTCCGAGACACACTCTTGGCCTCAAAGATTGTTCCGACCCTGGCCATTTGTAGGACTTATCCAAGGTGGATCTGAGCCTCCTCGTGTATTCCAGGCTGAGACCAGGATCCGGGTGCATCACCAGCTGGCAGAAGATGGGGCTTAGGCAGAAGATGGGGACTAGGCACTCTGCACGCCCGGCACAGGTCAGGTTCTATTGCTTCCCGCCCCCGCTGCTCCTGGTGATTGTCTGTGGGAGACATGGCTTGGTGGCAGGGACTGGAGGACAGAAGGCTGGGAGTAGAGCCTCTTGGCTGCAACCTGTCCCCCCTTCCTAGCACCCTTGCACTGAGAATCGCCAGTTGTCATTCCTTCCTTGCATGCTGTGCCCACTGCACCAAAGTCTTGTGGAGTTTTGCCATTTGGGTTTAATGGGAGATTGCATTCACCCCAGGCCAGCCAGGGGGAGTGGGCAGGGTCCGGCCTGGGGCCTGCACTGCAGCCCCTGGAGATCTCAATCATCATGCCTCTGCTTTGCTTCTCTCGGCTCGGGAAACTTCACTTACCGCTGTCCCCAGAGTGTGACTCAGATGCACCCAATGACCAGAGGAACTTGTTGGGAGGAAGTCGCAATTATGGGGTTAGAGAGAGGAAAGTCAAACAGCCAACAAAATAATCATCATGCTCTCTTGTGGATTGGGAATAAGGGATGTGGGGCCCTCTGTCGTCCTCAGTTACCCATCTCAGAGCTTCAGATGCCCAGACTCAGGCCGGAGGGTCCCTAGGGCCCCAGGACAGGCAGAACACCCACATTCATGGGTGTGTATATTGTTCCCCAGATGGCCTGGAGAGACCCCTTCTCAGGAGGTCTTCGCCCTTAGTGTGTCTCTGAATGGGGACTCTAAAATCTATCTGGAAACTTCCTTAGAGTAGCTAACTGACTTTTATTAAAGAGAATTTTTAAAAAATCACGTTTTTGGGCCTGGCATGGTGGTTCATGCCTGTAATCCCAGCACTTTGGGAGGCCAAAGACGGCAGATCATCTGAGGTCAGGAGTTCGAGACCAGCCTGACCAACATGGAGAAACCCCATCTCTACTAAAAATACAAAATTAGCCAGGTGTGATGGTGCACATGCCTATAATCCCAGCTACAGGAGGCTGAGGCAGGAAAATCGCTTGTACTCTGGAGGCAGAGGTTGTGATGAGCTGAGATCGCGCCATTGCACTCCAGCCTGGGCAACAAGAGCGAAACTCTGTCTCCAGAAAAAAAGAAAATAAAAATCACCTTTTGATTTTAAAGTGTCTCTAGGATCTTCTGCAGTTGGTATCATTTTGACTAGAACCTTTCACTGCCCAACTGTCAACAGGTTTATTCTATAAAAGAGGCCATGCAGTTCGAGGAGAATCTGAACATGAGATTCACACACTGAACTCTACCTGGTTGCCTCTGCTTTTGTGTCTGTTTGTATGTGTATGTGTGTATGTAAGTGCATGTTTATATGTATATGTACACACATGCATGTATACATGTATACTGCACAGGCACACATACCTACATGTATGTGTATGCATGTGCATCTAATGTGCATGTGTGTATTCTGTGTGTGCAAGCTTACTTTGGAGATACTGCAGTTTGGTGCCAGACCACAGCAACAAAATGAATGTTGACATAAAGTAAGTTGCACATATCTTTTGGCTTCCCAGTGCGTATAAAAGTTGTTTATACTAAACTGTAGTTTATTAAAGTGTGAAAATGGCAGTATGTCTAGAAAAACAATGTGCAGGTCTTAATTTAAAAATACCTTATTGCTAAAAAATGCTGACAATCATCTCAGCCTTCAGCAAGTTAAAATCTTTTTGCTGATGGAAGGTCTTGCCTATGAGTTCATGGCTTTGGACTGATCAGTGGTTACTGAAGGTTGGGGTGGCTGTGGCAATTCCTTAAAAATAAGATGGCGATACAGTTTGCTACATCCGTTGAATCTTTCATGAAAGATGTCTCTGTAGCACGTGATGGTGTTTAATAGCATTTTATCCACATTAGAACTTTTTTCAAAATTGGAAGCTATCCTTTCAAACTCTGTTGCTGCTTTATCAATTACATGTATGTGATTTTCTGAATACTTTGTTGTCATTTCAACAATATTTACAGCATCTTTGGGGTAGGTTCCATCTTAAGAGACCACTTTCTTTGCTTATGCATAAGGACCAACTCCTCATCCATTAAAGATTTAAATGAGATTGCAGCATTTCTGCCACATCTTCAGGCTCCACTTCCAGTTCTAGTGCTCTTGCTGTTCCTAGCGTATCTCGTTTCTTCACTGCAGTCCTGAACCCTCAAGGCCATCCGTAAGGGTTGAAATCAACTTCTTCCAAACTCTTGTTACTACTGACATTTTGATTTTCTCTCATGAATCACAAATGTTCTTAAACCCATCTGGACTGTTGAATCTTTTACAGAAGGGTTTCAGTCGACTTTGCCCAGATTCATCAGAGAAATCACCATCTATCACAGCTATAGCTTTAAAAATGTTATTTCTTTTCTGTTTTCGAGACGAGTCTTGCTCTGTCAACCAGCCTGGAGCGCAGTGGTGTGATCTCAGCTCACTGCAACGTCCACCTCTGGGGTTCAAGCAATTCTCCTGTCTCAGCCTCTTGAGTAGCTGGGATCACAGCACCCGCCACCACGCCTAGCTAATTTTTGTATTTTTAGTAGAGATGGGGTTTCCCCATGTTGGCCAGGCTCCAACTCCTGACCTAAGGTGATCCATCTGCTTTGGCCTCTTAAAGTGCTGGGATTACAGGCGTGCGCCACCATGCCACGTGCCAGGCCCAAAATGTATTTTTTTTGAGACGGAGTGTCTCTGTCGCCCAGGCTGGAGTGCAATGGCACGATCTCAGCTCACTGCAACCTCCGCCTCCTGGGTTCAAGCGATTCTCCTGCCTCAGCCTCCAGAGCAGCTGGGATTATAGGCATCTGCCACCACTCAGCTAATTTGTATTTTTGGTAGAGATGGGGTTTCATCATTGTTGGTCAGGCTGGTCTCTAACTCTTGACCTCAGGTTATCCACCTGCTTCAGCCTCCCAAAGTGCTGGGATTACAGGTGTGAGCCACCGTGCCTGGCTTAAAATGTATTTCTTAAAAAGAAAGACTTGGCTGGGTGCGGTGGCTCACGCCTGTAATCCCAGCACTTTGGGAGGCTGAGACGGGCGGATCACGAGGTCAAGAGATCAAGACCATCCCGGCCAAGACGTTGAAACCCCGTCTCTACTAAAAATACAAAAATTAGCCGGGCGTGGTGGTGCACCCCTGTAATCCCAGCTACTCGGGAGGCTGAGGCGGAAGAATTGCTTGAACCCGGAAGGCAGAGGTTGCAGTGAGCCGAGATTGTGGCATTGCACTCCAGCCTGGCGACAGAGCTAGACTGCATCTCAAAACAAACAAACAAGACCTGAGCTGGGCGTGGTGGCGGATGCCTGTAATTCCAGCTACTAGAGAGGCTGAGATAGGAGAATCGCTTGAACTTGGGAGGCAGAGGTTGCAGTGAGCTGATATCGCGCCATTGCACTCCAGCCTGGACAAGAGTGAGACTTTGTCACAAAAAAAAAAAAAAAGGACTTGAAATTCTAAATTACTCCTTGATTCATGGGCTGTAGAATGGGGATTGTGTTAGTAGGCATGAGAATGCTATAAGCAAAATTTCAATGCCGCAAAAGAAATAACACTCGAAGATGAATCCTCCCAGCAGGGCAGTTTACTTGTATAGAAGGGTGCAGGGTGCACGCATGGGGCAGCATGGCAACCGCAGGCTTGGACAAGGGGGGAAGGGGTACTTATGCTGGGGGGTGGGGGTGTCGTCCCTACTGCTGTGTCGTCCCCTATTGGCTAGGGTTACACCGCACAAACTAGACTAATCCAGATTGGCTATTTTATTTTATTTTACTTTTTTTCGCCTCCTTTGTAAAACTCCTTGAATCAACGATTGGCTGTTTTAAAAAGAGTAGGGGTCCAAGCTGGAGTGGCAGGGTGGGTGTTTTGGCAGGAAGGACGGTTTTGGGTGTGTCAGAGCAGGTAGCCAGGGGCAATCAGGTGACCGGGATGAGTCAGGATTGGGGGGAGGGGGAGCAGATGGGAACTACTGATTAGAACTGGTGGAGAAGGAATTACAAGGAAGTTAAACTTTAAAATAGAGAATTAAAGAATAAGAAAACTGAACATGCTGATACACTGATTCTCTGAAGAGAAATTCAGAACTCATTGTATCCAGTTAGAACAACGTTCATTTCTTTGTATCTCTGTCAGAACTGCTGCGTGACCAGGTGCATTGTCAACAAGTAGTCATATTTTGAAAAGAATCTTTTTTTTTCTGAGCAGTAGGTCTCAACAGTGAGCTTAAAATAGTCAATAAACCATGCTATAAAGAGTTCTGTCATCCAGGCTTTGCTCTTCTATTTATAGAGCATAGGGAGGGTAGATTTAGCATAATTCTTAAGGAATCTAGGATTATCAGAACAGTAAACGAGCATTTCCTTCAACTTAAAGTCATCTTTAGCCGTAGCCTCTAACAAGAGAGTTAGCCAGTGCCTGGAAACTTTGAAGCCAGGCATTGACTTCTCCTCTCTAGCTATGAAAGTCCTAGGTGGCATCTTCTCCCAGCAGAAGGCTGATTTTGTCTGCATTGAAATCTGTGGTGCTAATGTAGCTACCTTCATCAGTGGACTTAGCTGGATCTTTTGGATAGCTTGTGGCAGCTTCTACGTTAGTATTTGCTGCTTCACCTTACTCTGTGATGTTATGGACCTGGCGTCTTTACTTAAAACTCTTGAACCAACAACCTCTGCTAGCTTCACGCTTTTCTCCTGAAGCTTCCTCACCTCTCTGAGTCTGCATAGAACTGAAGAGAGTTAGGGCCTTGCTCTGGATTAGACTTTGGCTTAAGGGAATGTGGTGGCTGGTTTGATCTTCTAATCCAGACCACTCAAACTTTGTTAGTATCAGCAAAAAGGCTGTTGTGCTTTCTTATCATTCGTGTGTTTACTGGAGTAGCATTTCTAATTTCCTTCAAGAACTTTGCCTTTGCATTTGCACCTTGGCTAACCGGCAGGAGAGGCCTGGCTTTCAGCCTGTTTGAGCACATGTCTTCCCCACTAAGCTTACCCATTTCTAGCTTTTAAGAGATGTGGCTCTTTCTTTCACTTGAACA